GAAGTACTTAATTTTCGAATAGTCCGAGCATGATAATGTTTTCTTTGAGAATGTTTCAGTCCGAACGAATTTATTTTTTATTTATTCTAGCCAAAAAATAGTTTAACGGATACCTCCCGTAGATCTAATGCTTCGATTTTAAGTTCAAAATAATACTTTTTCATTATCGTCTTCTACGTTTTCATTGTCTAAAATGCGCAGACTAGTCTCATCAAAGAGATTCTTTTTAGTTTCCATTAAAATATTTCTTATTACGTGTCACATATAAGCTCCTTTAGAAGAGGCGAAACTTTAAAACTGGTATCCGATTACGTAGAAAGAGCCGAACATTTCGAGATAAAATAATTTCAAAATATGCCTAACACGAGAATCATGGAGGCTTACCGAAATTACGTCGCAGAGAACAACCGGAGAGCAACGGAAACTGTTTCACGGTCGGCTGGGTTTTATGCTGACGAAGTGGCCTGGGGCGATCGTGGCTTAGAGGGCGTCAAATTAGATGCACTTATGCCTCATATGTAGCGCGGAAAGGCATAACTGACTACGAGCTTGCCCTCTTCCACGGTCAAAATAAAAGTACGAAAATAAAAGCCAGCCCCTATCATCTATCTTTATGATGTGTTTAGACTTCTGAGCGGCTTCGGAGGCATAATAATAAGCCGAATTTCAAATTTCTAGCATTCAGCGCGTATCGTTGAAAACCTACCACAGTTGCAACAATGAATTTCACCTGAATGAGTGACAATTTTCTACAGTCAACGTCGGTCTTTGCGATCAGCACACGTTATTAATAAATAGTTATCAATAAAATACGGCCATCGGATTTGCTCATAGATAGCTCCGCGCTCGAACTAGACATTTGCATGAAGTTTTGCTCGTCCAGAAGCTGTCTCCTGAACTCTTCTCGTACATGAGACACGTGTGTCGCAAGAGAGGCGTTTTGAAATTGCGGAAAAAGGGCATTCAAAAAAGTAATATTTTGGCCCCTCATTACTGGCTACGATCACCGCTGCAACGCGACTTGCATGATGATGATGGGGCAATGAATGCATTTTTATATCATCTCCGCCACGCCTGGGTTTCGCGCCCACACGTAGCATCGTATTTTTGAATTATAAAATGTTCATAATCTCCTATCCTGTCGTGTCCTGATTCACGCTTTGGCATAATACCATGCGCTTTTGGTCGAATTCAAGCTGAATGCATTTCCAGGGCATGGAAGAACAATTTGCGATGAAGACTTCAGTGACATACTCCTGCGCCGTGGATGGAAATTACGATCCACACAAATGATTTTGCTCGTATGCTTCGTTCACTAAATTACACAGGACTCATGGGATCTTGTCCGAATCGCAGGTGTGTGCAGGTATCGACGTTACTAGCCAAAGTCTCAAGATATAATTTATTTAAAAAAAAAAGCAAACCTTTTCTAGCTTTTCAACCTTCCAACTTCGGAGTCGTTTAGCCCCCCCTTTTTTTAACGCGTCTATCTGCGTAGAAAGTCTAACGAACGTATTTTGGCTGGCCAATAACAGCTAAAACCACTCATTTCGGTACGGTGTAGGAGGCCTGTTATGGACGCAGTGAATCCGTGAGGTTTCCCCGTAACCTTATAACGAGTTCACGTAGAGTACGAAAAGCATGAAAATCGCTGAAGTCACTTTAAAATAAAATCTGTGCTCATCTCAAATCACCTATACCTCTTTATGGACAAGAAAAAATGGGGTAAATTGTACATGATAGCTTCAATGTTCATACCAGTTGTGGCAGTGATTTGCCATTGTACCGAACATTTCGGGTAAGTGCTCTTTCTTCTAGTTGAAAAAACTCTTCCAAGGCCAACGTCATTACGTGTCGTCGCTAGAAAGCAAAGGGAGACAACATTGGCGGAAAGCACTACAATTCGGAGATATCTTCGATTTCAGATGGCCTTTTTTCATTGGCCAATGACTATACATGTCTCTAAACTAATCCAATTCCAACCAAAGTTCAATATGAAGTGCGGTAAAGCGAGTTCTTAGAACAAACATCGCTTTTTCATTTTTAATCGAAGCATGTACTATTATTATCTTTGACTATCTGCCATTTAGACGCGCAGCTCAACGCCCACGCTGCTATAAAAGTCCGGCTTATAACTAAGATAGTCGATGGAGTCTCGAAGGGCAACTTTCACACCATATTGAGATTTGAATTTTTGCGATGGATAACAATAAGCCGTTGTATATCCGTTCCTGAGGCGTACAAGGAGTGATTTATTTCTCTCTGCTCATTGATCTCAACAGGTAAATGGGGAATCATTTCTATTTATTGAGTTTAGTTGTAATCAACGAAGCACGATTCAGAAAGCCTGCATGAATAACGTTTGCATTAGACCACCGAACCCACACTGTAGCCTTTGCCAGCAGAACATTTATTTAAGGTATTGACTAAGTAAGTTTATTGCGTGACATCGTAGGTGGCAATTCGATCAAAAATAGGCTACTGCTGGAACATGAGAGGCGAACGCTTCTACGTCTTCGTTTTTGATCCCTGTTCAAATTATGCGGCACCTATTTGTGGTACCTTTTTTTTTGTACCATATCGAATTTACGGAATTCAATAAGTGTGCTATTTTTACAAACCTAAATGGCAACACCCGTGTACGTCTGATGTAACCCACGTTATTGGCTTCCTACGAGATTATCTACGGAGCATAGTGTCCTTTGGCCCATGAGTCATTACAAGTCGCTCGCTAAAAATTCTCGTCTCGATATCCAAGTAAACGCTCTCCAATTCTAAAGGGTATATATGCGCATCCGAAAACGAAGAAGCCTTAAGAAATAGAACTACTCCGAAATATGGGATTAGCGTTTGCCGAAGTTCATGTTGGCCGATCCCACATATCGTACCATTTTTAGGTGAATTTTGATGGTTTTTTTTTTTATAACTGATGTTTAAGAATGTCCTCGATTTAAAGACGGGCAGATGCTTCGTATGTATCGATTTCCTCTTCGTAATGTATGAAATATTTAACGAACTTAGCACCACGAAAATTACAATCGACCTTACTATTGCAAAGTGACGACAAATAAGAAAGCACCGCCGAGAATGGACCTCACGCATCACGAATTTGAAGCCTAGTTCTTAAATAACTGCAATACTTCTGCTGATTTGACTGCTCTAGACAATTGTAGCTACAATCGTGAGTGCCTCAAAAGGGCCGTCCAATAATTTATTCTGCAAGCGAATTACAAGCCACTGATAAAATCACGCCTGAAGAGACACTACTATAACCAACAGCCATACATAAAACAATTTCTGCCCCATTGTTTTCAGTAGTTTCGGGCAAGCCAATTGTAGAATAGCAAACACATTGGTCGTTTCCAGTTTTAATCAATTTTCACCGTTAAACCTCTCTTAAAAGCTTTTATTAAGCAGAATTATATCGCACATGGAACATGGCTCTGTGCAATTTGCCAGGTACGCACGACTATATGAGAAAAGCTGTATAAATGATATATTACTAATGCCAACAGTTAAGAGACCTCCGAGCGTTTGCATAAGCAATACATGCTCCGAAACTAGACATCTCCCTGGGTATGTACACTGGTGTACGTTCGGAATGATCTACGACTGTTATTGCACGTCTAGGACAACAGTTTCAATATGGAAGTTATTTAGTACTATACTGGTGATTGGGGGCCTGGCGCTTACCAGTCTGGCGCTACCAATCATCAGTAGACACTTGATTTTAACCTCTAAAATGACAGCCATTTAATACAATCTGCTCGGATGCTGCTGATTTCTTTTTATTAAGTTAACCTAACTTCACTGCTTTCTCAACTTTGTATTCTAGGCACTGTTAATATTCTGAATGGGCTTTATTTTTTCCTCCTTTTTCTAGCTAGTCATATTGCAATATAATTTTTTGCACTCGTTATCCTACTTTATGCGACAGTTTCAGTTGGGGGGGTTCGTTCAAAAAATGGCCCTTCTGCCCGAAATGCCAAAAGATGGGATTCTTGCAGTAAGTAATACTTGCTGTAGCTTTTGTGAGGGTGAACGCTGTTTGACAGATAGACAAGTGTAGGAAGCAAACTATAGGCTGTGAACGTTTACATCTTGGAAGTATGCTTTATTTATTATTCATATAACGCAAATAATTAGGTAAAATGCGACTACTCTCCTTTATGAAGAAAAAAAAAACCCTTCGACTGGCTGAACAGTCACACTTTGATGCCATTGCCATTATTATTGTTATTGCCCTGTCCTCATTATTTTGTTCGTTTGGTTTTGGCTTGAAGTAAATTATCTCTACTTTTTTCGGTATCGATTAGATCATATAAAATATCTGGCCAAAATTTCAAAATTGTCTTGTATAGTTTTAGAAGTATATAATAATTTGAGCCTTTTTTCTTCCGTTTTACGACCCTTCGATGGCCGATAATTTATAGGTTCGTTTCCCACCTGCGAATTTTTACAAACAACGACGTGAAATTTCACGTTCCTAGCTAGTTACGCCTAACCTAACAAGTTAACTTGATGGGAACATCCCTCATAAAAAGCAAAGGATAACGCCTAAGCGACAGCCCTGCACGGGTGTTTGCGAGACTTTATGGAATGGCGAGCGAAGATAGTGAGTGTCACAGGTCAAGGCAAGCGTCAGAGGGCGTCAACCGCCTGAAACAAGCGCGATTTTATATGCGCGGCAGTGGTAGATATAGGAATCCTAGCTTGGATCGAATCTTCAAATGGGTGGAGGACACTATCTGGGCTGAGCGTGCACGCTCGGCTATCGATGACACTGAGCTTAAGGAGTGGCTTGCTTTTACGGAAAGTATGTTGGAAGCCCTTGAGCGTGCTCGGTACTCACCCGAATTCATGGGGCTAAACGATAGGGATGAGAAATCTCAGGTCGAGTTTCTAAAGAAATGGATAGTAATGCAAGGCAAATTGGCACAAAAGATCTCCTCCAAAAGACTTGAAATATTGGCAATGGAGATGCAGGATTACATTTATGAGCCTATTGAGTTTCCACCCTGACGTGCCGAAACGATCGTTCCTATGCGCGCACTACAGAACAAAATTGACCATAAAATCTCCGATTTTTTGTAGAAGACGGAATCCGCAATAGTTTTCAGCTGGAACGTTTAGGCTTTAGATTCTTGGCAAGTAGGATAAAACTGTTTGAAGTAAAACGAGCAGTGAAAGCACAATTCTATCCCAAAAAGGTATCCATTCTTAAATTTCGGATATTTAATGTTCGTCTCGGTGTCATGGAGATACGGTCCTAATATTACGGACAGAAAATGGAACTTCACGTTGGTCAAAGGTAAGCTCAAGGCCATCCGAAGAGATAACTGGTTTATCCCACTTTTCTAACAATTGAAGGTTCATTATTGTATAATTACCTGACTAAAAATTACATTTGTAAACGTGCGCGTTAGTGTTAACTTGAGAAAAGGTACAAAGGGTACAAAAAAAAATCTTGAGTATATACAACGTGAATAGCATAATCGATTCTTAGGTTCCACTTAAAACTTACCTACAGTGTATAAATAGCGCGATTCTGGATACAGCCTGACTATCTAATACTTCCAGATTCACAAAGCGACAGTGATAAAAAAACAACTGGTCTGGTGTACTTTACAATAGCGGAGAGTTTTCGAGACCTGTAGTTTTCTAATTGTACTTTGTTTGTTTTTTTTTTTAACTGAACTTCTGATTGCCGCAGGAAACTGGTTATTGCTCACCCCATAACGACGCGTCGAGAATGGAGCATTAGAAAATGTGAGAGGTTTATTGTAAGGATTGAAAACACTTGATTCTGGCGTCACATTCGGCCTACGCTTGCGTTTGCCTACCTTTATTTTAAAAGGCAGCTGTCTCGCGATTGCTTACGAATGTTGTTGGCTCAATCGCACGATTCCCAGGAGCACCGTGGCGAGCGTCGTATGAGAGAATGAGCTGTCGCCGAATATGGTACGGCACCATGGAATTTCACCCCAGTTTTAGCTGAACACTATTTGAAATGATAGCACTGCCTTAAGATATGTTCTTTAGCATAAAGAAAGCTATCAGAAAATTCACCGTGGAGTCCCTCTTTAGTTTCCCAACGGACTGCGCAGCCGATGTATGGATACGCTTTCACTTGTTCCAAAGCAGCAGAAACAGACATGATAACGCAAACAATGACCTAAGGCCTAGCTAAATATAATTCTAATTAAGAATATTTATAAAGATATCATCGTATTTAGCTAATAGCTAAATCTAAAACTATACATTCACTATTAAACTGGAAAAGAATTCCAAATTGTCCGCCAGCTAAGTAGGAAAGATATATAGGCCTTCTCGTTGCAGAATCTAACAACGGTCCAAAATCGTAGATCCAATGTGCCAAATAGAAAAAAAATGTAGTATATACATCGATGGTTCTTGTGATACCGAACTAGAAGCTCCGAACCTACTCTAAAATCGCGAGGAATACTAGAAAGCACAAATCTGCATTGGCAGTTTTTTAGTGTCGTCCGTAGAATCGTTCACCTAGCAATTCAATTTCTGCAAGTGTAGTGGTCGGACCATCGGCTGAATATAGATAGGTACGTTGAAAATAATCCAAACCACATTATTGTATATACTGCAGGGAGAGCACTTGCGTTTGACGCTACAGGTATATTTGGATTTTCTGCGTCCAGGATCGTGCTTTGTCGATTCCTTGTAATGGCGAAAAGATAAAGCCACTAATTTCTTCAAATTCATACTCTTTAGAAGCTGTACATGGCGTCCACTCCTACACGAAACAGAAGGCAGAGTAAAAAAACTCGTTTGGTGTCTCTACGGTTTTCACACGAGTTTCATCGCTCCGTCCTGTAAGTTTAAATAAATTTTCCATAATGAAATATATCTGTTGTCAATACAGTACTGTCTTTCGGGAGGAACACGTCCTTAGGAATAAAAATATGCCGTGTCGGCTGCACGGTCGATCTGTTGAATAAATATTATAAACCTAGGATATGAAGCCAAGATTGCTAAGTGCTCTCATTAGGAGAATTTAGTAGGACTGGAAGGCGCCGAGCTAACCGATGGATGATTAGCAAGCGAAAATTTTAAGCAACGGAAAGCATTGCTAACCTAGGCAAAAATCTGAAAGGCACATACGATAGAATGTTTGAGAAGATAGGCTACGCCGTGGAAGACCACCCTACAGGTTTAGACAGATAAATCTTATCAATGTTTTAAGTTCAAAAAAGTATAAAATTTCGGAGGACACATTTTTGACCTTTCATCTTTTCTATTGAACGAAAAAAAGCACGCTATTGTCTAACTGAAAAGAAAATTTACGAATTTTACACAATTATTCCTAGGGCCGTGAGCCCTTAATCACTTGAGTGGTTGAGTGGAACGGTTAGCGAAAGTCGGTCTTGCTATAGAAAAACGTGCCGGTAACTTTGATTAAGTGCTGACTTACCCTAGCCTGAATAAACCTCTTTTTGCTGATATACTACATAGGTGTGCCTTGAGTGCTATATAAAACACAGTTACGTTTAAGTTACTACAAGCTCAGAGTGGTAACAGCATAGAAGACTTGCGGTGTCCTTGAATTAGTTGTTATATAAATGGCAAACCAGCCTAGACATCGTATAGCTCGTCCTTAAACTAGAGTAAATTATTCACTGTGTATAGGTTCGTCCAATATTTACTCGCAAACATGCTCTATGTTATAATTTTGCACTTTTTCCTTAGTAATTCGATGATAATGAAAGGAAAATGTGAACGTACCCGTAAATCGATAATAGCCCTACGTAAAAAATGGCCATTACAGTACGCCAGTCGCTGAAAAAATACGTTCTTCCAGCCATATTTATGCGGAATACCGTCTTTATTAGCAAATATATTGAAACACTCTGTAGCATATGACTTTATTATCTGCTAGCAGCGCACTTTTTTGATTCGACCTAACCTCAGAGGGCCAACCACTCTTATTCACTGGTCCAGAGGCACGTAGCAGTGGGCCGTATGGCTGGATCCACTGGTCTTATACAGTCGGCGATACTCAACGAAGTCACGATCTAGAAAAGGTTAGCTTGATTTCACAGCCCGGCCAGCATTGAAGCCGATTGTCGATTTTCTCTTGGATCCTCTCAATCAATTTCTTCTTTGAAAAAGGCCGCGACGCTAAAATAAGGGTCTTTGCGATACCCATAAATTTATGCTCAGTAAGTTTTTTTTTACCTATTATACTTTTTAGGAGCGCTGCAAGCGTTTAAAACTGAGGCACCTACAGCCATCGTCGCTATAGTCCAGCGGGTTGTCAAACACCGCGCTGTATCGTTAGAAACAGAGAATAGACTCTGCACCATCTATAAGACCTGAGTGGGGAAAACATTCCAATGAAACCCGGAAATATCGACCAGTTTTATAATATGGTAACTAACAGAGTCTGGCGATCCTCACACGAATAGGATATTTGGAGACCTCAGCGAATGACTTTGAGTAAATATAATTTGTCGCTGCTATTGTCGCTATAGGCAAATTATATCGGCCAAACTTAGTTAAGTTGAAGGTGGCGAATAAATAGATCGAACATTTTAAGATAAGATTGCAGACTGGCTCGAAGGATTAATGAAAGCTCAGCAGCTTTATTTAACATAAAGGGTACGCACATCTAGTTTTACGTAATGGCGTGCTCGCATCAAAGCAATAGGCTCTTGAAGATTTATACATAAATGACAAAAAAAAAAGGATGACATAACTTTTATCTGGATTCGAGGTTACGCTGCATCGAACTATTTACGAGTTTACAGATTCGAGGTTCGCTCCTATGGTCTTCAACTCGCTATCTAAAGTACGATTATAAAAAAAAAAATAACCGAAAACAATTCGGTTAATGATGATGAAAACGATCAATTGGATTAATTATAGACATTTTTAATTACAATTATAGACATAGAGAATTTTAAATCAATCGTAAATGAAAGTCTCTAGCAGAGAACACTCAACCACATGTTCACCTCATACCTAATAGTTACCATAAGATTGGATATTTGCTTTTTTTTCCATGCTTTATCTGACTTCGACTGCTCGAATCAAGTGCCACTGCCATTTTCTGCGGTAGTCATCTTAGCATGCTCTTACTGCTATCGTCTTTTAGGATTAAAGGCAAACTTGCACAGAGAACGGTGAGCGCCGCTGCGGCTATCCTTCTGTAGACACGGACTAAGAGCATAATATCACAGAAAATGAACATTGATCCTCGAGAATCACCGGCCAGTACTACAACGAATCATCAAATCAACGTGATTGTATTACGTACGTGGTGGTAGAACGTGGGGCAATATGTAACGGTGATAGAACCGGGCAGCTGATCGCTGTCGTAGACGGTAATGTGAAGGAAATTATCAACGTTCTTGCATAACATAAACTTCTCCAATGCACGAATATTGAGGTTACGGCACATTACGAAGCGTTTCTTCGACGCAAGTGATCACCCTGTCCAACAATGATTAAAATATTAGTCGGATTACAAAAAAATCTATGCTAAAACTACAAAAAAAATACAAAAATAATAGGTGTTTTTCACAAGATTAGATTTTTGCCTACCTAATCGAGTACGAGTAATTTCCTCGTTGTATAGCAGAATGCAAACACCATTTTTTCTCTAGTATACTGATCAATCATGCACATGTCGTCGTATCAGAAATCGCTTCCGGTGTCGTACCCTTGATTCATCTTGCACGCGGCTTGACAATAGCTCACTATTTCATACATGTGAAGATGAAGGAAATAGTAAAGCACTGATCGATAAAGTGTCGAGTACGATGAAATTGACAAGGTAACAAACTGTAGCTAAAGCATACCATCCGTATAATAACAATTTGATGTACATTTTTTGTTTTTGACCATTGCAACGACGCAGAGAAAATGAATGCCTGTAATGATATGTGTATAATGTCAACAAATATGAGATGGCAACCCTGATCATTATCTCGCAAAATACCGTACGCAAGAATCAATAACCAACAACAGTGACCGTTTAAGCATCAAGAACTCAATTTTCTTCATAGCTGAAAAAATGAATACATTTCAAAAGAAGCCTTGATTGAGATAGAGTGGAAATTATTACGATTCCTATTAAAAAATACACTGTGCTCTACTTGCTGTTTAAGCGTCATCTCTTGCAATAGTTACATTTCCATTTTGGTTCTGTTCTGGCAGCCTTCTATTACACTCCGAATACGTTCCCCAATAAACAACACATTTATCATTGACGCTATACTGACTACGTCCATATTTCGCATAGTTCTCAAGTTAGCTTATTATTCGCTAGGACACAAACTATAGCTTTTAAGTTTACTAAAAAGTCTATCTTTTAAAAACCATGGACATAAAATACGAGTTCCCAGCCACAGAAAGTCTGACACAAATGACCCAGACGGCCTTTTGTAGCGCTTACTGCAATAGCTGACATGCGTTAGTCTGGTGAAGACAAGCGACCGTGCCAATTACGCATAAACGCTTAAAAACACACTGCTATGTACGCAACACGTTAGCGACGACAATAGGATCCAGCTTGCCACTCGTTCGATCGATCTTCTATGTCTTGCGAGCAGTAACTAGCACGCGTGCAATGTTTCGAGACAGTTGCTATACTCGGCGCCTGAATATTCACCTAACTTCGACGGCGTCAGGTGAGCCGGTAGCCCCTAGGTTCTGGCCTATAACCTTTGTCAAGGCTGCCCCAAAATTGGCCAACGAGTATTCGACAGTTTTCATATCGACAATATAATACCAAGTTATCGTTATCCCAAGCTATTAGATCTACATAGTGTCCGACGAAAGTTGGTCTTCTGTAAGCAATTTCATCTTCACACTGCGCGAAGCGAGGCTCACCCTTAGGATAGTGAGCTCCTGGAACTGTTTATATTTGAGATCGCTGCGAGGTTTTGTCAAATGAGACAAGCAATGATTATCATTGGCTGACTAGCTTGGTGTTGGCCAGTGAGGGCTTGATACAGTAGAAAAAAAATAGAACTTGACTGTATACGCAATCACACATTGGAAGATTGTAATTTCTGCAATATTCACAAATGAGCTTTTCCGTACTTGCATATTGGTAAAGTTTTTGTTTTCTTTTTAATGTAATAGGCATTATTTCTAAGAAATAACTTTTGCACTAAAAGCTGTAACAACAAACACTGAATCATGTTCGTTCAAGTGAGAAATAACACCGAGAACGTTTAGAGGTCGTAATCCGCGGGTAGGTATATAGCAAAGCCCAGGATCAACTGGAGTATAGTAGGTAAAAGCTTCATAGAGCAAAGGTAGACGTACCGGTACTTTAATTAAAAACAGAATTCAGGACGAAATCATTATTGATTTTAGTTAGTTAATAAATCAATTTAAAACTGCATAATCCATCTTGAACATACTGTGCATGTAATACATTAAGAGAGGTAGTTGGCGCAAACAATGGCGTTTCAAAACGGGGAGAACATACCATGCGTCTTCATTTTAGTAAATTATATGTTAATTAACGATATTTTTCTAACCTAACCTAATCCACCCGCTATAGATAAAGAAAACTAGAAGTCAAGCGAAGATCAGGACCGGCGTAGAGGTAAGCCATATTAGTTGATAGTTTACGTAATCATCTGAGAGAGAGAGAGAGAGAGATTGGCGGCAACATTTTAAACAAATGGAGGAAACAGACAAAAACAAGTGTGAAACAGAAGAAGTTGCGCTTACAATTGTGTACGGAATATCTAGTTCATCTGACATTTCTCCGCATAATGGCGGTCATAACGTTAGCTCGTATCTAGCATGGACCGCAAGTGAAGTATTCCATGCTACCCTCTAGAGTTTGCACATTTCACACAATACGTTACCTAATAATAACGTAAGAGACACACAAGGTGACTTGGGTTTGAATTAAAGAGTAGACAAACCTTCCACTAAAAATCCGCCAAGATTTTAGCAGCAGAAGATAAAGCCACACTATTGAAGACTTGGAATTATACACGGCTATATTATGCATCTCATTATTATGATTCATAAATTTACGTCGTTCCTTGGCCACGTAAAGGTAATTTCAATAATGATATTCGTTTGATATAAAACTGCGCAACACTTGACTGAAAACATTTGTTGACTGCAAATATTTGATTCCTTATGTGTCGGGAGATATTTTTTTTGTAGCCATTATAATTAACAGCTCGTTTATAACCTGATCCATATTATTGTTGTTAGTTGCAATAGGACCTTTTATTTCATTTCATACTTGTACTTACGGTGTCCTCTTTCCCAAATTAAAAAAAGCAGACGACGTGATTATATAGAAAGCAACACAACTGCAACAACAACAACAATACGAAGCCGTCCGCAAACATGTTTAAAAACAAACAGGGTAGGGGAGTACAATTCGACCTGTCGATATAAATGACAAATCGCTTCCGATAATTAGTTTCTATTGGATTTGATCTTTTGATTGAACACGTTAATTTCGGAGAGGGCTACCCAAATATTATACTTTTCTTCAGACAGAGCGACCGACAGACAGATAGCTTCGTGGTATAACTTCTTGACCGTTCTCGAATAAGCTTCTACGTTTGCACATTCACCCGTGTATAGAGGTACAATATTTACGTTTATTTGGTACTGCGCCAAACGCATGGATTAGATTTATTTTTACGTATCATTAAAGCAGATGTGCGAACCAACTTAGCTAAATAAAAGTATCTGAGTATGAGCCCTGGTGTTTGATCTTCCTAAAACATTAATACTTGAAAGAACATTAAAAACAACGTTCAGGAACCATTTTCGGAAACTGCCCCAGGGTGACTTTGTTACTGCTTTACGTGTTTCACACCTTCTAACCTTGATAATAGCGGCCTCCGTAATCAGCCAGACTTTGAAACGTTAAGATAAATGACAACCGCCTTTTCTACTATTTGTACGTTATAATGCATGAGAGAGAACACTTCTTCAATAGGCTAATGCCATATAATGCAACGATAACTTTATTCAAAGAATCACTATATATTTACAATTGTTGATTCGCTCACTCCAAAACATCCTGAGTGTGATCTAAAATATTTCATGTTCATTTTCTCGAATGACCCTATTTGTTGCCAGGTTCTCCACAGTCAGCTTTTTAGGCCATACTGTGTCTTCTTCACCGGTATGTCCCTCGGTAGCCACTGGTGCTATGAGGGTTACTAGAGTTCATTGGCTTTCATTTATATTAACACGTGACTTCTTCCATCCGGAGCAGAGTCTTTTGGATAAACATGACGAATTCGTTCGGCTCCATAAATTGGTCGACGGTCCCGCTAAAACTCGACGCCCTAACCACGTCATCGAAAAAGTCTGAAGATACAACAGTAAAAAATAGTAATAAACATTTTAGTAAGTGAGCACCTCATGCACCTCATTTTAGTTTTATTCACATGATGCACGGTGAAGGAACGACCATATTAAAATAGACTTTGCATGCCTTTTGCATTTGAGATGATCTATGTATATACCAAAGAAGATAGATAAATACCTTTAATATCTGCTTTGGTTATATAAGTGCACGACTCCTCCCAGAGGTCATTCGCGGCATCTTGAAGGATAAACGTTTGGCTCATCTAGATCAGCAGATTACAAAATAAGGACATTACCCAGACATTAGATAAATTGCCTAGATGTATTTCCTTTAATTCGTATAGAAAAAATATGTGGGGTCGAACTTTTAACACCTACCAGTTTTGTTTTAATTTTAGCTCATTTGGTAATCCATCAAAATGTTAGTTTTGAAAAAGGTAAAGGACCAAAATCCGCTATATATTGGTCAAAAAATCGATGTCTTGTAACTTACTTCTTCGCTATTGCTGTCAATTAATTCGGCCAAAGTTGTAGTCTGTTCGTTACGAAGTTCGCGTATACGGCAGACGACAATATGAACTCGATAACTAAGGAATGCTTAGACCCTTCGTAATAGTACGATCAGGCGGTTTTCTTGTTCTCCCCTATGCCTATATGGCGTGGTAATCAGGCCAGAGACCGCGTGCTGAATCAGGGTGCGAGTATCCAAAAACAGCTTTTGAATCACACGTAAACAATAAATCGAATTCGTTGTTGCTTCATCTATGGAACCTAGAAATTGAAATTTTAAATGACAGAAAAAAAATCATAGTTCTACCGTCCAACTTATAAAGGAATTCAACTATATATATATATATATATATATATATATATATATATATAAGACATACTTAAAGGTTCGATCACCAAAGATCCTACCAAGATCTTGTCAGTCCTTTGTGAATCGCCATACTGGGCTAGGATTGTAGTTTACTGCAATACTTCCTCGGGTCTTGATGAACTCCAAATAGGAGAATATTTTATAAATCATTTGGCTCTTACTAAATATATACGCATATATCCAAAAGAGTATACGTAGTTGGAGTGCAGATGTAATGTAAACAATTTTGAAGTCGTCATGCATTTAATCTTTGTTTTTGTCCTAAAAGCGGAATAGTGAATGGCGTTCCCCAGACAAGTACTTACCGCCTACAATATAACATATGGCAGCCTCAAGATACTTCTTAGCCAAGCCTATTGAAGAATTTTCTTTGTCTCCGGCATATTTGAGCGCTTGTCCTTGCAAAATATAGTATTCAGGGGTAAAAGCTCCCGAGTCTGTTTTCGGTTGTTTGGCTGCCTTCGAGATCCGTAAAGTGTCTTGCTCCGTAGTGGTCCTCTCCATGGAACGACGCCGCTTCCGTTGGCCGAGTCCTTTATCTGCTGACGATGGTAAAATATCGCTATTAAGAAACTGTTTCTTCACCTCCAGTAAACCAGAAGTATGCATCAGCCTTTTCTGGGGAATGATATCAATATTGGAAAACGTCCACAAGTTGGAATTATCACAGTTGCCCAACTTCTGATGGTTGTCCCTATGGACAACCTTCCCAGTGAATGCGCGATGCTGAGCACGGCGACTATCGTTTCCGTCGTCATGATTTTTCTCGTCCCAGATTAAGTAAAATTTTGGCTTCAAGGGAAGTTTGCTTAGGCCTAACCATCACATGTTCTAAAAAGCAGCGTATATGCCTAACATATTAAAATCGGGAAAATGCATACTATGGGCATTTTAATATAGCGGTTCGTGTTTTTAGGTGATTTGTCGAAAGCAACCCCTATGAGCTTTAAAGTATAATTCTCAATTGTTTTTTATGCTTATATATAGGGCAGACAAGGATATATAGCAGTGTGGGGCGATAAACGCCTTCTTCATAGCTACTATATTGGTGCTAATAATGGGCAGCGATTTATTATACAAAACAAGACCCTTTTCAGTTCGGGCCTCGCGGAATCGACCAAGTACCCGTTTAAAAGTGTTAAAACCCATTTCTTAGGTATTTTGCGCAAACTTGAACATACTTTACAAACGAACACTAGTGTATGAAAAGACTGATGATAAAAGCCGCGGTTTATTCTGCAATAACTGCTTTAACTTACTTGTCATTAGTGCAGATTTTCGTGTCGAGGAAGAGCGCTTGTTTCTGACTGCAAACAGATTTTTCAGTTGCCGCATTGCCCTGTTCATCTCGAACTACATACACCCAAATGAAAACAAGGCTTTAATGAAATAGAATATGTAGGGACAAATAACATGTTTCTATAAGATACAGGACGCGCCTAAGATTGCTGCACATTTAAATAAAACAAAATTAGCAATTCCCATTATAAAATTATACAGGATGCGTGTAAGTAACAGCCTCAACTTTTTGTCTCATTCAATGATCGACCTTTTTCCAATAAAAAAACTAAGTTTACAGTAAATGTTACTTACTGCAATTTACAATTCACTTGGTGACAAAACTTACTCAGCTTCAAACGACTTTTCGGATTAAACGAAATGACAGTAACACATTAATAACAGAGTAAGAATAAAACCGAGAATATAATAGGGTTGTTTATATATCATCATTTGATTTTGGGAGAGAATTCTCTTGGGGAGAGATGCTAGTTAAGGGGTGATTATTCTGAGAAAAGCTAAGCCTAGATCATCAGTGAGTGGCCTGCTCTCAACAACCATGAAGGACTGTGAAGTTGACTAACGAAAGTGACATAACCAACAGAGAGATCTGGAATTTAAAGAGTAACAAAGGATTGAATATTGCTTTTAAGATTATGTGTTCACCTAGCCTTGTCATCTTGGGGGGTCAAATTGCCTATCATTAGTAAATATGCATTAAGTTATCTGGATCATAGCAAATTGTATAAAACAAATGCTTTATCAAAACGTTAATCGGGTCAAAGCTTAAAATGAAAGCTGTAATTATGAAACATATGATCGTTGTTGAAAGCTTTACATGCGCGCCTCCAAAGTCAATGGGTTTCAGAATATATCAACTTGAGATTGTCAACAGACAAGCTTATTTAGAACAAGGAGCAAGTATGTTCCTTGTATGATAATTATGTGCTATTAAAGAATGATATGGCCTTGTTTTGCACCCACAAAGAGTTGGGCACAAAGAATGATAGCTTCTGCTGTTACACATGTAAAAGTATATATAAATATATACATAGAGGAAGGTCAGCTGGGCTCAAGCACTTTTCAGTTGAGAGCCCGTAAAATCCAGCGCACGAAACATGTTCACTCAAACGTGGTACGGAACTATAGCTCTGTCATTTGACTATGATACGACTACCGCCTGATTGGAATACATACATGTAAGCAATTACCTTTGCAAAAATCAATAAACGTTTTCACTCAGCCCAATGTTTGGGTGAATTGAGATATCACATGGGGTGAGATGAAGCAGACAACTATCCAATGACGAATAGGAATCAACACCTCAGTTTGGCGCCACACTTCTCTCTAGTCTTTATTAGTCAATAAAATATGTTGATTGGTTAAATTTACTAAGTAGCACAAAAGGAATACGTCTCGTCATCTTTCTAGTGTATTTTCTACGACGACGCTTTCGAGCTTAATGTTCTCTAAATACTTTTTATTTTTAACTTTATAAATTTAACAAACTTCGGAAAGTAAAGGAAAGATAAGAATAGCTGAACTGAGATGCTGATAGTGTTACGACATGCTGGCGGTAGATTTGAGATGTCAGTTCGGCGCTATTCGTATCACGGATCGCAACGGCGAAAATACCGATCTACACAGATCTAGCCCTTGAGAGAAGGATGGCTATGTTTTATATTTTTATCTACTCCATTCATAGTGTAGACTATCACACACTAATACAACTAGAATATGGCACAAATTTAAGTACGAGCTTGCTCACATAAAAACATTAGACAAACGCTTATCCATGGGTCCCTCAACTGATTTCCCCCTAAAGTGTTTCAACTCACCCCAACCTCATCTTTCAAACGTACTTTAATTTTAAAAAAATATGAAATAGATGCATCAAAATACGTATGTCAACGGACGTTGACTATACTGCCAAACCGTGATATATTGCCAAATGACAGGTAAGGCGCATTTACGGTAAATAGGAAATACCTAAGCATGAAGGATCGTCGCTGATTTTAATTCGGCGTAATAATTAATTTAATTAATGTGACTGCAAGATTCCTGGTAGGCATACTACAGCTTAACAGTCAATCATCTAGAATCAAATTTGAAAAAAAATGTTTTTAGTGTCTCACCCCAGACCCGCTTCATCTCAGCCCATTTTCTCTCATTTTTCATCTACGGAACCCTGCTCCCTTTTAATTTATTTAGGACAAATTAAGTTGTTTCGAAATGTAAGACGTTGGGACTAGGTAAATGTATGTCACACGATAAAAAATACGTATTTAAAAAATTCTAGAAAACAACCTGCCACTGAGCGTATTCTAAAATTATGAAAGCACCGGAAGAAAGTACCACACAATATAAAAACGATACGTGTACGGACAACGCGTGTTCATGTTAACCAGCCATTCAATAACCAACCATAAAAATTCTACATTGTATCGATCCATTTGCCATAAGCAAACAAAGCCACCAAAGCTAAGTGAAGATCAGTCTTTGTCACCATCGGCGTTCGGATGAGTCATAGAAGCTTGAAATCCATGTAAGCTCTCAAGAGCTTGGCGGCAAACTTTGAAATAAACTGAAAGGAGAGAGAAGAGCAGATCGCAAAAGAAGGGGAGAGAACACTTTGCCTATAATTATGCAATTTATGAAGAAGACATTTTGTTCGTTTAAGGGTTTTTCGTATGATGGTTATGTAAGGCTACTCCGTGTCACTCGTGTAACCAGAAGGTGCAGTGCTTCACGTCTCTATAATAAAGATTGTGATAACATATACTCACTGAAGAAGCATACAACGTGATCTGGGTTCGAAATCGGGGGCAGACGAAACTCGCTAATAAAAAATCCGAACATTAGGAAGGGTGATGAATGTGGCGGTCTCCATTCCTGCTGAGGCCTCTCCAAATTTTATCAACTCCAATTCCCAATAAGTCTTGAGTTAGGTGAGGCAAGGTTTCGCAGCTATACAGAAATCTTTTGGGGCTGATCTGAGGGGCCAATTATAGGTAAAGCTAGTACTTTGTACACCTTTTTTCCTATGATCTTGGCGTTTAATGAAGGCCTCATATAAGCTAGGTCTTGTCGTATCACTATCACAAGAGTAAATATCCTCAATTATAAGAATCTTGTGAAAATTGTAACGTAACGTGCATTTCAGATTTGTACTTAAGATACGATTGTATTGTTTTATTTCTATTATTAAATTGTTTGCATATATGAAATACCTTTTACCCTTATTTGTGTTATCGTATGTAGGTATGTCTGTAGGTGAGCAAGAATGAACCGTGTCGCACGCTATTGAACCTCTCGGGCCATTTAAACTAGGTGACGCACAAGAAATCAGCACCACAGACCACCAAGACTCAAATGAAGCAATTCCATGATAAATAGACGAGGGATAGACTATATTAGACAGCTAAAGTTATAAGGCATAGCACGAATTTCAGGTAAAAGACACCTTCGACACTGAGCAGGAATAAGTTTTTGCATTTAATATATGCGATATGCAGAGCATATTTAGCGCTCTGACTGGATCTGAACGACAAAAAAATGTAAGGTTGCAAAAGTTTTGGAACTTTTTTTTTGAATTTATAGTAAAGTCGCATAGACGTCCATAGTTAAGAAAGCAATAGCTTACGAAAAAATAAGCTTGGTATTGAAGTAGCATTTGTTTCAATTGTAAATCTACTTTCTTCCTTGACTAGAAGTCTAGTTTTACTCACGGTAGAGCTACGCTCTTCTCTACTGCAGGTCTATTTATTCCCTATCCTGTTAATTAAACCAAAATTAAAAATGCATTATTCTAAACCACAGAAAGTATAGTATAATTAATAAATTGTAGTTTTCGCGCGTTTCTACAATTCGAAGAACTTGGGCGAATAACAGTAAATAAAGAAAATAAAAAGTACTGAATTACTGCTGATTTCTAGCGAAATGAATCAAATGCACGGACTCCCAATCGCGCGGTGTCTGAAAATAGAAAAAGAAGATGGTGGGAAATATATCACTGGCCTGTCTATTGAGTACTTCAATACATCCTGATTGTTTATGTTACACTAGACCTGTCAGGCTCCAGTGAATGGTAAGCATTAATCACCTCAAATGAATCCAGCAGGTTCCTCGCAGGCTTCCCTTACAGTCCTTTCTCAGACGTATCTGCAGGTAGTGAGCACCAGCCAGCTAAGCCGCATGGCAAGCGTAGATAATACTCTACTATATTGGTAAGAAGACGATTTAGCAGGTTGAATTGAACCTAAAAAACAAATCAAAATAGCATGAGCGTAATACGAAGAAACTAAAAAAACAGATGTCTAGTGAATGTCCACTGACAACAATGTTAGCCATCATTCATTTGTATAATGCCTATTAAAAAGCAACTTCAAATTTGAAGACGTATTAATGAAGTCAAATATTTACCTATTATTAGTCATAATGGCTATCAGCGTCCTGCAGCAGAGACAATTAGTATTAAGAGATCGAAATTATATGACCCGAGAGGACAAAAACGCATTTAACGAATTGGTTTTTGTAATCTTCCCATTTAAGTGATTGGGGATCTAGCTAGATTGCACCACGTCGAACATGTGATCTCTACAAGCAATCGAGGAATCGGTGTCGCGGTGAAAATGCAGTACAAAGATTATTATTTTTCTTGCTACAATATGGCGATACTTTTTGAATAGTAATAATATTGTTATAGATTTGCATTTTTTTTTTTTGAAAAATAGCTTCGGACGGTATGCAGCCTGGGGTCTAATAGTCAATATAACACATGGAATACCCGACTTCGATAAATTTTGACGCGAACCAATCCTTTTAGCTAACACATTGTAAACTATCTTTTCGAGTTCACGAAAATCTTAGTACCGTACCGCTTCATACTGGTACACCATAGCTGCAGCATAATTAACGTCGTAAGTCTTCAACTCTCAGTATAACATCTCAACTTATTTTCATGTATTAGTATCAAACAATAGTCAACATTGTCGCTGCATCCTGACAAGCCAAAGCCGTATGATTAATTGGGTTTTTCTATTATTTTGTGACTTCCTTCAATTGCACAA